GCTACCCGCGCTACTCCAGTGCCATGGTGCGCTGGAGGAGCCGCTCGGTTTAGAGCTGGGGCTGGCGGCGGAGGGATACTCCGGCCGGGAGCCGCCTCACCCCTCCTCAAACTTCCTGACATTTGAACTCATTGGAGCGCCTCGTATCCCTGCGCCGGGATGAGCCGGCAGCTCCACGTCAAATAGTACCGTCGCCGCCCCCCCCCTCTGCGGGAGGGCTCCCCGCGCCCCCAGCTTGTGCCCAGCGCGGCGCCTGGCCCCGAGCTCTGGGCCTGGAGCCCCAGCCAGGTCAGGCGCCCTGCAGGCCCCTCGCAGAAGTTTGGGTCACCCTCCAAACAAATCTTTCTGCCCCACCCCCTTGAAAAATTGGTTTGGGAGTTGGGGAATGAAGGCTTTCTTTTTTCTTTCTTGCCTTCTTTATTATTAATATTTTGTAAAGCTTCAGCGCTAAGAGGAGTGGCCCCGAGCGAGGCCATACTGCGCGGACGGCGGGGAGCGCAGTAGCTCCACCAGGGGACGGCGCCGGCCAGGAGTGGCCGCCGGGGGACTCCGACTGTCGGCCGAGGTAGGACGCACCGGGCTGAGTTGGCGTCCCCCGGGCGGCGGCGCCTTCCCGGGGCCGGTTTGGTCCGTGGAGAAGGCTGGCTGCCGGGATTGAGAAACGGGGACTGGCAAGAGGCAAGGCCCTGCTAACCCAGGACTTGCCAAAGGGGGCCCCGGCCCAGGGAGAGAGGGGTTGGACCCCGGGTTTGGGGTGAGAGGTCCGGAAAGGCTGCAGAGGTGGCAGAGATTGGGGTGAGCGAAGATCGCAGAGGGGCCCTAGGATCAAGAATGGGGGACCTCGGCCAGGCGAAGAAGGTGAGGCCCAGGTTCAGGCGTCGGAGAGTTTAGAGGACGATCAAGTCTGGGAAAGGGGTCCCTGACTAGGGGTGGGGGCAATGGACGAGAATCTGGCCTCGCAGACTTTGGAGTGAGGAACACGGGTAGGGGATAGTAGCCCCAGGGTCGGGGACTGAGGTACGGGATGACGTGTGTTCGTCCGCTCAGAGGAAATCGGGTTAGCTGCTAGGATAGGCGACCTTTGGTGGCAGAAGGACCCAGCCAGGGGTCGGTAGGCCGCGCCCCTCAGGGACAGAGCCCTGGCCAGGCTGGGCAAAGTGGGCCTCGGCATTGGGGAGCGAAAGCCCGGTGAGACGAAGTGGCCGATTCCAGCGCCCGCAGGGCCTGGCGCCCACCGGTCCTGCCTCCTGCGCTTGGTGCGCAGGCCGCTGCGTTAGGCTGCAGTGCACCGCGCGGTGACCGGCTGTGGTTTTGGCCCCTGGGTCCCTACGGAGGGGCGGCTCGCCTGGGAGCAGGAGGCTGACCCCCGCGAGCCGTTGCGGGGCGGCCCCCGCCCCTCCCGGAGCGGAGCAGCAGTGCGGAGCGGGGCGGGGGCGGAGGGCATGGGAGGCGGGTCCTCTGACCTCTCTGGAGGCGAGAGGGCGGATCGGATTTGGAGCCTGCGGGAGGCTTGGTCAGAAGTGGCCCCCTGTGCCGCGGGGCCCCGCGGAGGGGCCCAGCTTTGTGGAGGGTTAGGGCCTCCAGCCCCACCCCAGTACCTGCGTGTGTGTCGGTGGGTATCTATGTGTGTCTGTGCGTGTCGATGCTCCCGCCTCTGAGGCTCTTTGCATATGTGTGCCCCGGTGTCTCTGTGCACATACAATATTTCTGTGTCCCTGCGACTTTCTGGGCCCCGAGTGTGAGGATCTGTGAATCTAGGTCCGATTCCCCTGCATCCGTGTATGTGTGAATCTGCGGGTCCTTCCATGCCTCTGTATCTTCTGTGGTTTTGTAGGTCTTTGTGTGTGTCCCTGTGTCTGTCACTCTATGTGGGTGCATGTCTTTGTGTGTCGTCTCTCAATCTTTAAACTGCGTCTGGGGTCCTTTTCTGTAGGTGTGTCGTCGCGTCACCTTTGTGTGTCTGTGTGTATCTCCGAGTTTCTGAATGATTCTGTGTGCTCCGGTATCTCAGAGTTTTGGGGATTTTTGAGTGTGTGTGTTATGTGTTTATGGCTTTCTGTCTCCGTGTATTTCTTGGTGTCTTTGTGTCTGTATCCAGGATAGTGGATGTGTTGATTCTTTCACACGCCCTTGGTCCCCTGTCCTTGCAAACCCCAGGCTTTGGGCTCTCGAGGTTGGGCCTGGGCTGCCTTCTCCCGGCATCTGGGGCGGGGGCGCGGCAGCTGCCGGGAAAAGCCGGGCGGGCAAGGCGCGGGCGCGCAGAGCCGGGCACAGGGCGGGCAGACCGACCGGGCATATTCTGCCCTCTGCTGGCAGCGCTGCATCCCTGCATCTGCTGTCGGGCTACGGCCTGTAGGCGAGAGGGTCCTGGTTCCAGGCCCCAAATCCTTGTTCTTCTTCAGAGCGCACTTGGGAATCCTCTCCCGTCACAGGCCCTGCAGACCCATCCCGGACCCCAGACTCCCGGTGCAGTGTTCCATCCCCATCCCTCTGTCTCCCACTACCACCCTTTCGGCTGAATGGCGGCCTCTGTGGCCAAGCCTCTTATAGGGGCTCCTCTGACCCTGCGGCGGGCGCACACTGTGTCCAGGGTCACAGTTCTGGGGCCGCCTGTGTACTGGGTCTCAGTGCAGGAGGACGTGCCAGCTGCCCGGATCCGGTGCGAGTGGCAAGTCTGTCTCAGAATCTTGGCAGGTCACACCGTGCCCCTGCCCTTGTCACAGCCCACACCACCAGGGCCGGCATCAGGAGGACCAAGGGCGGCGCTCAAAGCCACCCACGGCTGACCAGGTGCAGGCCCGACCCAAGCGCGGACTCCCTCTCTGGTCTGGGAGTCGGGCTGCTTAGTCCACAAACCTGGGGTCCGTTCTCCACATCTTCCGCGCTCATTGTCCATTTGTCACCCCACCCCACCCCCACATACCGGATCACCCTTTAGGTCCTTTTCCTTGCTCTTTGTCCCCGCTCCCTGGGTCCCTCCTTCCCCCAGCTGAGCCGGCGGTCCCGGGTCATTCGCACACAGGGCGCAGAGGCCCCGGGTCTCCCCACCAAGTACAATTGCGGCTCCTGTGCCCCTGGACCTTTTCCTCAGCTGAAGTGACCGATGGACGGTACAACGGGGGCTGTACCGTGAGGCTGGGAGTCGGATACTGCCCGTGGGTGGCGAGCGGCACCTTGCTCTGCTCTATGGAAGCGGGGGAGATCCGGTACCCCGCGATTCCCCCAGCCACCCTCAACCCACCACCCTGGCGCTGCGGCCGATGCGGGATTCTCTCTGGCTCAGATTTCAGCGGCAGAAACAAGCTTCAGATTTTCTCCACCCGAGGAAAAGACCGAGTTGGCTGTTGGGAATCGCTTGGGAAGAAGCAAAAACGGAGAGGGAAGCTCTAGGGCGAGGGTCTCGGCTCCCCGAATCCTGTGGACGCCCCATCTTTTCTGAGCCCACCCCTATTCCCCTTGGCTTCTCTCCTTAGAGCTTTGCACCCCCTCCTTCTGCCCGCACCTGAGCCACCAGCCGCCCACGACCACGGCCCTGTGACCCTCCTCCTGCCTGGAGCCGTGTGCATCCTCCCCGGTGCTGTGTTTCTGACCAGAGCAGAGCCGCGGGGTCCTCTTCCAGTTTACAACCCCAGCTGGAGGTGAGGATCCAGGGCAGGGCTGGAATAGAGAGCGCAGCCGGAGCTGTGTGCCGCCGAGCTTGAAGGTGCAGACGAGGAGCTGCACGAGTCTGGGATTCCTTCCTGCAGGAGAACAACGCTGCCCCAGCGCCCAGAGCCTGGGGACCATCAGATCCGTGGGAGGCAGCCAGACTGGACCAGCGCCGCTCCAAGCCATGGCCAGGGTTGGGAGTCGTGATTCCCGGGAAGCAGCCCAGGGTCGGGAGACCTGGGAGCTCCGGTAGTGGCGCTGGACAGCACCAACACAGCTCGAGTGTCCCCAGCTCCGCTCTGCAGACCGCAGCGGTGTTTGGCCTCAGGACACGTGGATCAAAGGTTTAAGGCCCCTTCTGAGCTGGCAGGGAGATGGATGTGTATGATGGGGAACTCCTCACTTCCCACAGCCCAGGGGAAATCATCTGTGGCCTTGTGCCTTCGCAGAGCTCACAGAGACCCTGAGTCCGTTGTAGGCCCACAAAGCGGAGTGACTGGAGACAGGTCCAAACTGCGGTCCCTCTGACTCAATGCTGGGAGCAGGTTCTGTTCCTTCTGGGGTTTTGTAGGCTGATGGGATTTTGTGGCAGAGGACAGGGTTTTAGGCAGTTTGCTGGTGAGGCACAGTGTGTGGGGCTCTGAGGCTGTGTGCTAATGTGTGCCTGTGTGCCGTGTGGGGGACCACCCAGCCCCAGCAGAGTCTCTCTGTTCCTCCTGTAGCCCAGCCCCACCCTCAACCAGCTGGTGGGGTCTCTGGCCACAGACCCATGACTTTTCAGCACAAGATCTGGGTCATTAGTCATGGGATTCCTCCCTGGTGGGTCAGGAGACCAGACTCCCTCAGATCCAAAGGCTGCTGTCAGCTCAGGGCTGATGCTTAGGGAGGGATAGTGC